CATAGTGTTTTGGGAAGTTAAGACACCCACATTTGTGAAACAACCTCATTATTACCCGATTACACAGTTATAGCAAAAATGAGAGCCTGAGAGTGTGAAGGGCCTTTACAACCAATGCTTCCAGTTAGCTCAGTTATCTGGCTTCCCAAACTTTTATTAAACACATAGTTTTAGATCTTTAATTAAGAAAATTTCATTAGAAATGAAATGATCCGTGGGAGATAGTTATGGACGACCATGCTGATTAAATCAATTAGAAGTTTTACATTATCCATACCAAGAACAGGCTCGTGCCTCTGAAAAATCTCTTGGCATCCAAATTCAGGGGTACAGAGTTTTTAAAGACAAAAACTACAAAGATCATCCATACTTTACACCAAAGTCAGATGAAGGTCAGAGTAACCTTGAAATGTTCATTCTTGGCAGAGCATGATAATAATTATTATTTTAGACACTACATGCTGATTATATTTTACTTATATTTCTTATATTTCTATAGTTATTTTAGTTTACTTATTATTTGGGTTAATATGTCTGGATCATGGTCAAGACCATGGAAATCCCAAATGTCTTGTCAAGGCAGATGTGACTATTGTGGGGAAGGAAGGTAAAGGGCTGAGAACTGTCTAAGCAAACACAAAATGGAATCAGAACAGAAAAGGATGGTGTTACCTTAGTAATTCCAGCAATAACAGTAAGGTAAATTACTATGTGCCCCTTTTATAACTTGACAAACTATCAATCTTGGCCCTAATATTCCTGTTCTATATTTCTCATACTCCTTCTTATTAGATTTTATCTATTTTACATTTCTCCAGTTGTATCAATATTCTGCTTTTCAACTCATGCATTAGAGCTATTTAGTTCTTTCAAACTTCTAAGTTCCTCTATCCTTTTCTTTTGTTATTGTTGCCATAAATTTGAGTTTTGTATAGTCCAATGTTCTGCCTTCTCAAGGTGTCACATATCACACTTCTCAACTCTTTGTAGCTTCGTAAGTTGGGAGTGACTTTAAATGTTTGGTTAGAGTTAAGCTTGGTTATTTTGGCAAGACTACTGTTTCTTAGGAAACATGAATGTCTTTTCATGAATTTTCAGATGTATCTTTCTTTGGGTAGAACTCTTAATTTATTTTGGCATTAAAATGTTATTTTGAATATATTTCTTAACATGAGGATTATTGCAGATGTCAATGCCACCCAAAACAATCAAAAGGCATATTGCGACTACAATTGGAGTGTGAATTGACTTTCTGTTTAAAAAGTATTAATTACCCTCTTTAATTTCTTGTAAGGGTGGCTCTTGGGACTCAAAACAGAGCGGTGTAACTTGTTAGTTGGCTTGCACAAAAGCTTGGCTTGTGAAGCTGGTGTAGAGACCCAGGCTCTGTGATATTGATAAGGTTATTTAACCATCCTTTCCTAGGAGACATGACACACATACATATCTACTTACCCCAGAAAGATATCTCATGATGGATCAAATTTGGTGAACCAATAAGATTTTATTGAGGCAACTAACAGAAGTAGCTTCAAAGGAAGCTACATCACCCCAAAGAACACCTCAACAGACCAGTGGCAACTCATGAAAGCACTAACCCTGGAGCTTTCTGCTTTTCTGGTAGTTGTTTACTGCTTTTACAACCCCAGGCAGGTTTATACAGGGATCTGGCATGTTTGAGCTTTCGCAGACTTATTACACTTGTTTTACTCCCTGTGTCTCTGCCTCCCTCCTGGAGGGAGTGTTACAGCTCTGGAAGAAGCTACTGTACATCATTGGGTGATGTGAAGGGCTTCCCAAACAGCAGACTGAGTGATAGACCTGTGAGGATACTGATGGTGAAAGTCAGTGGCTAGGGATGTGAGGTAAGTGTGAAATATTAGTACACCTAGCAGTGACTGGTTCTCCAGTGGTGGAGCAATACTTGGAAGAGCAGATAAAGCACGGAACTTTTTTTTTTTAATTAATGATCTATAATTATGACAGAAAAGTCACTTAAGTTCAATATACCAATAAAAATTAGACAGTATTTTATATTCATTTTAGAAACTAGTACATGGCTGAATTATAAATATGGAACCAATGGGTTTCTATTTTTTTTTCATTTTGTGATTCAATTAAAATCAGACCTTTTCTCCCCATGAATTATGTCAGTTTTTTTCTCTGATTTAAAAGTATTCATCTTTGAATTTTCAGTGTGTCAGGATGGTGTACCCTCTTCTTTACGTCAGGTCTTCTTGATTGTTATTTTTAGTGTCACTTTGGACAACCTTCCACTTGGAAGAGCATAGCAACGACAAGCAGCCTTCATGTGGGGCTTGGTTTTTGTCTCAGACATAATAGTCAATTCTCTTAGAATGAAACTTGACTGGGGTGGGGTGGGGGCATAAGGGAAGCTTCTCTATGCATCTCAACAAGATATCCTGATTTTTCTGCCGTTTGAGTCTACAGGGAGGTGGGTCTGGGTCCTTACATGGAGCCTGAACTGGAACCCATCTGCCCCTAATGCTCCCTCCATCCCTTAGGTCTGGGTGTTCATGGGTAGAGATTTTCTCTGGTGCTTCATGGATTTGTCCTTCATATAAATGCTCGTAATTTCCCTATGCAGAACCTAGAACTTTGTGCCTGAATTGACAAGTATATGGAGCTGCCCCTGAGGGCAGGACAGGGTGAGAGCAGCCTAAAGAAAGCTTCTAAGATGGAAGTAGAATGAAGAAATGGAGCTGTGAATGTGAGTTCTGAGGACAAGCACCAAAACCTGTAGCCAGGTCTGTTAACTGCTGCTGTGGGATGGCCTTTCTGTATGCTGTGAATATGTGCTGCTACTGCTGGTTAATAAAGAAGCCACCCACTATGGCCTATGACAAGGTAGAACAGAGCCAGGTGGGGAATCCAAGCAGAAAAACAGGAAATAAGACAGAGTTAGGGGAGATACCAAGCGCTGCCAGGGGAGCAAGGTGTAATGGAACACAGGTAATGCCATGAAGCCACATGGCAAAACATAGATTAATAGAAATGGGTTGAGGTAAGTTGTAAGAGCTAGTTAATGATAAGCCTGAGCCATAGGCCAAACAGTTTGTAATTAATATAGCCTCTGTGTTTTTATTTGAGACTGAATGGCTGTGGGACCAGGTGGGACAGAAACTTCTGCCAACAACCTGCCTGCTCCTGAAGGCCCAGGATAGTTGGCATATAAACAGCAGGTGTTTTATTGCAGATGCTAGTATCTGATTTAGCATTTTCCTTCTGTTTCCCATCGTTTTTCTAGTGACTTCCCCCAACTTAATTTTAACTTCCCCCTTCTCTCCTCTAAGCTTTGATTTTATTATTATTTTCTTCTTACACATCTTTATCCCTTTAGTTTTTTTCCTTCTGTTGTGTTGGATTGTAACCTAGAGATGAAACATTTTCTGTATGCCTCTTATGTGGTGAAAGTGTTACTTCTGCTGAACAGTTGCAGGGCCACACACTGAAATACTAGACAGCTGTGGCTTTTCTTTGTGCAAGAGTTTTCACACCAGGAGTCACTTGCTGCTGCAGCCAGTTTTGGGTGTCGGTAGATACGAGGTCCTCATCTAATACGAACAGCAAATCACACTGTACTTTAGACTGGTACTCTTTTTCTTTTTCTGTTTTTGGTTTTTCAAGACAGGGTTTCTCTGTGTAGCTTTGCGCCTCTCCTGGAACTCACTCTGTAGCCCAGGTTGGCTTCGAACTCACAGAGATCCACCTGCCCTGCCTCCTGAGTGCTGGGATTAAAGGCGTGCGCCACCACCACCGCCCGGCTTGTACTCTTTTTCAAATGTGCTGTTTTCTTATTTTCATTGCCCCCTCCCTTCCTTTTCCTACTGATTGATTATTGTTTTATAAGCCCAAGCACTTGTTCATTGTCACTTCTGAGCATTGCTGGCCCAGATAAGTAGATGCTCTTCTATTTTATTTTTCCATCCCACCTGCCCATAAGCTATGTGACATCATTGCTGCTCAGACTTCTTCTCTTCTTGGCTGACACATCAGAGTTCTTGGTTTGTGGTAGTAAAGACTTTGGATGAATGAAGCTGGTGCTTACTTCCGTGTTACGGCTCTGAGCTATCCTGATTGTAGAAATAAAAAGTTTGAGTTTTAGTATCTACATTAAGTTCACAAGCTTTCTGGTCTCAAAAATGATGGAGGGCCCCTAAAGAACATTTGTTAATGTGGGTTATATCTATCATGTTCATAGTACTAGACCTTAACACTGAACACAATTTTAAATGCAAGAATCTTTGGGCACTCACTGCACAATATCTCAGAGGCTCTAACAGTATATACGTTACACTCCTGAGAAATCAGGACTGGAAAAGGCTAATTTTATTTTTCTATTGCTTTGACGATAAATTGAATCTTACAGAGCTCCAAAAGGCACACAAAGGTCCCCAGAACATACTAAAACAGATAATTATTGAAATATTTGATGACGCATACTTGTGCTGTAAACTCCAGAACTGGTGGAGTAAAGGCAGGAATTTAGGAGAATATTTTTGGCACCAGAAATTTATACTACATGTGAGTCTCCACCTATGCACTAGATATTCCTGTACAAATGAATATAGTTAATAAAAAATGGTGTAGTTTTTTTTTGAATGGCCACTAAAACCTTAGTCTATTGTCTTATAATCTGGAAATTGATGTTACTGGCTTAGTTTTGTGTATTCAGACCCTGATATGATCACTGCAAAGAAAGTACCAAGGTTTTTGGTTATATTTCTCATTGTTCGATTGGCCACGTAACATTCAAAGGTCAAGCATAAATCCCTTTTCTGTCTACAAAACCTTAATGAAAAATCCATTGTCTTACAAAAATGCAAAGTGAAGATACTATTTAATCTTGGAGCAACTGCATTAGGTAATGTCACCAATCACTTCAGTGACTTCAGTATGAATTTCTGGGTAGCTTTCTTTCCTCTCTTGGTGTGAACATCTGACCACCTGCCTAAGCATCTGCTTCTTTTTTTTTTTAGATAGTTTTGAGATGGCTGCACCCTCAAATGGCCATCTGTATGCAGAACCTGGACAAAATGTTACACTCAGTTGCCAGCTTCAAAGGAAATGGCCAGTGCAACAAGTCATGTGGGAAAAAGTCCAGCCCCATCAGGTAGACATCTTAGCTTACTGTAACCTATCTCAAAAGACAAGATACACATCACGGTACCAAAGGAAAACATGGAGCAACTGCAGCAAGGGGAGCATGCAGAGTGTCCTCATCATCCCCAGTGCCAAGGCTGCTGACTCTGGACTTTACAGATGCCGCTCTGAGGCCAGCACAGGAGAAAATGAAACCATTGTCATAAGGCTGATCATAACTGATGGTGAGTGACAAGAGATGTTCCAAGTGTCAAAAGCAGAAAAAAAAAACCCCAGCAACAAACAAAACAAACCCACTGTGAACTGGTCTTCATTCTTTTTATTTGCAGTACAGATGTTCCTTTAATGGGATTCTGTTATATGTCAATATTTTTTAATGTTTATGTATGAAGCATCTAGAGTAGTAGGTTTCTATGTCTCTTTTGAAAGAACTTCAGTATGATTTATCTTTACCCATACTCCAAAAAAATTTTGCCTAACAGTCATATGCATATATATTTTTATAAATGCTTTCATTGGTTTAATTATTTTGAACATTACTAAATTTTGGGATTTGGTATTTATTTATCTAGTTAACTCATACATCATATATTTATCAATGAAAATATTTCATCTTACTTTTTTTTTTTTTGGTTTTTCGAGACAGGGTTTCTCTGTGTAGCTTTGCGCCTTTCCTGGAACTCACTTGGTAGCCCAGGCTGGCTTCGAACTCACAGAGATCCGCCTGGCTCTGCCTCCCGAGTGCTGGGATTAAAGGCGTGCGCCACCACCGCCCGGCTCATTTTACTTTTTTATAGTGTGTGTGTGTGTGTGTGTGTGTGTGTGTGTGTGTGTGTGTGTGCAAATGTGTCTGCATCTGTGTATACACATGCAAAGGTGAATAATCGAAATCTGGAGACTTCCTCTATTGCTCTCTCTACCTTTTCTTTTTCTTTTTCCTTTTTCTTTGAGACAGGTTCTCTCACTGAACCCAAAGCTCACAGTTTTGACTAGCCTGGCTGGGTGGTTTGCCCAGAATATATCTGTTTCTGCCTCAACCTTTGCTGGGGTAACAGGCACACACTGTCATACCCAGCATTGTTGTGGGTGCTGGGAATCCTCGCGCTTCTGTGGCAAGTACTTTATTCACTGAGTCATTTCCCAAACCAGACATTTCACTATTTTGTTTTCTTACTCGTTACATTTATGAACTAAAGTGTGCACACGCATGTGCATGCATGTGCACGCAGACACACACACACACACACACACACACACACACACACACACACACACACACACACGCAGAGGGTATTATCAGCCTGTATCTTCATTATCTAACTCCTCACTGTGGGTTTGAGGCAGATGCCTGGATATTGGTATCCCCAGAAGTAATAGAATGCTGCTACAACAGTTTCTAAGACTTGGGAGGACTGCGCTTCTGGATGCTTGGCAGTGTGTCATTACCAGTTTGTCGGATGAGGACCTGTATCCTTCCGGAACACATGACTGACCTGGAGGTTTACAAAGCTGACCTTCAGGCCCTCTGGACAGTTCTCTTCTGTGAGGCTGCATTCTTTTTTGCATACAGTTTGTCTCCTTTGTCATAATGAAGTTTAAATTGTGTAAACACCAGGGCAGTCAGAAGCTGCATCTACTCTTAGGAGAGCAAGAAAAAAGATTTCTCCATCTATAGAAGTGAAAATACAAAGGCCAATGCTAAGGTGTGTATAGAGGTCTTTACTACCACCAAGTGGGGAGGCAATTTCAGGTTTTCCTGGTTCTGCCTCTGGCAACTCTTTCAGTGCCCAGGAACAAAGTATTATTTTTACCAGTAATAGAAACTTTACTTCACTTTACTATCTCTCTCTTTTTGTCCTTTACTTCCTCCTTCCCGCTTTCTTTTCTTCCTCTCTGCACTTCTTCCTTCCTCCCTCCTTTCTTCTCTCTCCTGCTTCCTCCTTCCCCTCCTTCTGCCCCCTTCCCTTCCGTCTCCATCCATTCTTCCCTTCTCAACTGCTTGTTCTTTTCTTTTCCCCCCTCTGCTTCCATTCTTTCACCTCTCCCTCCTTTCCTTCCTCAGACCTTCCCTGGCTTCCTACCTATCAACCTTCCCTACAGACCAGATCTTCTTCCCTCCCCTCCCCTCCTCTCCCCTCCCCTCTCCCCTTCCTTCCCCTCCCCTCCCCTCCCTTCCTTATTGCTGTCTTCTGTAGTTTCAGTGAGTTCACCTATCTTGGCAGTGGTTAAATATTTATAGGCAGTTCTTTTAGCCTGCACCTGCCCCTCACAGTTTCTGCTCATGTTGCAAACTGGTCTTTCCTTCCGCCTTGGAATAAATAAGGGAAGATTTATGTAACAGCAGCCTCTGTCCCTGCTGCCACTGTTACTATGTGTAAAGAGGATGGTAGTTACTGGAGAACAGCAGATTTTCATGTGTTAGATAAGGTCATGAACTGAAGGACAAATAGACATTGGATTTAAAACTATATCAAAGAATGGTTGATTGAAAAAAATATATGGTGGCAGGGCTAGGAGAGAAAAGTTAACAGAATAGTGTTGACTATTCCCATAGGCACAGACAGGAAATACTTCTTATCTAAAAAACTCTTTCATCACAGAAGTTATTTTGGATCTGGACAGAAAAAAGAGTAAAAATGGATGTTCATCTTTTGTTAAACAACAACAACAAAAAAAAAAACAGGGCAAGAAAATATCCTAAACAGAAATGTCCAAAAGCCATTTTCAACCACGTATGAGAAGTCTTACTAGTAAATGCTGAGAAAATGATTATAAACTTCTTAGGTCATAGAGCGAGCAAGGGGAATGGGTTTTAGGAGGTGATGCTGTTCAACTTTTACAAATTAGCGAAAATGTCCTTCATATGCCCAACATTTTTCTCAAAGTGATTTCTCTGTGTATAAATTATAAACAATGTCAAAAATCAGCCACCAGATGGAAGTGACAGTGTAATAACAGGTATTGTTAGTGTCCACAAGCCTTGAACAGATGCAAAATAGTTTTTGACATCTAATTGACAGATTAAAAGAATAACAACTGGATTTTATATCCATTAGGAAAAATTATAATTGATGGAAGATGACAACCATTGGTTGTATGTTTTAACTTAATTCTTTTTTTCAATTATTGTAAGTAAAGATAAAATCTAAAGCTACCAGAGAGCAAGCAAGGAGGATGATTTGTTTCCTCTGGTGTGATTTTATTATCTCAAGTCCTGAGGCTATTTGGTCAAAAATCAATGTAGAGATTAAAGCCAAGAGACAGGTATAAGGTGTGAGGCAGATTTAATTCATCTCAACTGTCAGGGTAAAGGTGATTTTGACACATGTTTTATAAACTGCTACATAGTCTTCTTCTCTTAGCTCCTATCCATTTCTTTTACAAGACATGATATTGCATGCATCCAAATGAGTTTTTTAGGGGTCTCAAATTTACACACACACACACACACACACACACACACACACACACACACATACACACACCCCTGTGAGTTTTCCCAGGACTTCTGCCTACTTACATTGAGTTTCACACAAGAATCAATTAAAGACCACCCAAGAGATTTTAATCAACAATTGTCTAATAACCAGAAATATATATGGCATGTGTCTTGATATATTTTAAATAAAGGATGAAAGTGGCAGAAGCATGAATTATTTGCCATTGAATTTCTTTGCAAAAAAAATGAAGCTTCATGCTGTTTGTGTATACTCTTGGCTTTGGAAGCAGTAAGAAACAGCTACAGATTGAAATTACTGATTTTAACCTAACCATAGAGGCCAATGACAGGATGAAATGTGTGCTTATAGCCAAGGACTACAGTAATTTGTGTTCTTTAATATCCTTCAGATTTTAATTAGTCTCAAGAAAATATTTCAGGTCCCAAGGAAAAAATTGTGAGGTCCTTTTAATGTTGACTAAATGAGGTATAGATTATTATTATTTAAACTGCACTTGCTAATGTAAAAGAATGAGAATAAAATAAATGACTTCAACTCACTCAGGAAGTTCAGACAAGACTGGAAGGAACTGTTTGCTGATGGTTGATGGGCTTGCTGTAGTCCTTGTCCAATCATCTTTGATGAGTTACTTTGATTGAACCAAGTTTCGTAGGAGGGAGTATTGATAACTAGAGCTGAGGAGTCATGGCAAAATAGGTCATGGAGGGCAAATTTGTACCTGATAGTGGGGGAATGTATGTAGAAGATTATAATCAGATGACTAAATTGGCCCAGACAGTCTGGGCCATGACTTAGAATAGAGCGAGGCAGGTTAAGTGAAATGGCACACTGATATGATGATGGGTCTTCTGTCATAGTAAAGGACAGCCACTATTGGCTTCCAAGCAAAGATGGTGGAAGAGAATTCTGGAAAAGGTAGGGTGCTCGTAATTTTCAGTGTATAAGTCTTTCAACTCTGCTTACATTTATTCCCATCTTCATTTCTTCCTTTTCTCTTAAGAATGAGATTAGTTTCTTAATTTTTTTTTGTGTAGAGAAACATGGATGATCTTCTTATACTGATTTTATACATTGCAACTTAAAATACATTAATTAATTCCAACAGTTGAGGGATATTTGTGTGTGTAGTTAAGCACAGTCCTTAGGGTTTTATGTATGTGTGATAATGTCATATGCAAACATTTGTTTTTTCCTTTTTCAACTGTATCTCTCACATCTACTTTCTATGGTGAGGGCTTCTAGGATTATCTTGATTGCAGTGGTGAGAGTGGCATGCTTGTTTTGTTCTTGAAGGGAAAGTTTTCGGTTCTTCACTGTTGAGTCTGATGTTATCTATGGCTTTTCATATATAGCCTTTATTATTGAGAGTTTCATATATGGCCATTATTGCTGAGAGATTTTTGTAAAGCATGATAAGATGTTAACTTACATCAAATACCTTTTCTACTTCTATTGATATGTTCATGTGGTCTTTTATATATACATTTTATGATAATGTGGTATATTGGTTGATTTCATGCATTGACATATTCTTGTATCCCATTTGATTGTGGTATACAATCCTTTTATGTTCTATATTAATTATATAATTAAATTTGCTAGTCTTTTACTGAAATTTTTCATCTATCTCCATCTACATTAGAGACATTGGCCTGTAATTGTCTTTGTGGCTTGCTTGTTTTGGTATCAGAGCAACGCTTTCCTCATGAGTTTGGAAGTATTCCTCACATATTCAGAGAGGTGAAGAAGGGTTGGTATTAATC